AGAGAATCTTCATTTAACAAATCCAAATTGGTTAACTAAAATGAAGAATATCCTCATTTAACAAACCAGAATTTCAAATCCAAAATGGAGAGAATCTTCATTTAACAAATCCAAATTGGTTAACTAAAATGAAGAATATCTTCATTTAACAAACCAGNAACATCTTCAATTAGCAAATCCAAATTGGTAATCTGAAAAGTTGTCGTTATTAAGGTTCTCGTTTTGAACATAATCAAGCCACAGAAGGAAATCAATTTGATCTGCGTCTTTAAAATCCAATTCCTTCGTTTTGTAAATTTTAGTCACAATTGCTTTATTGTTTTGGTATTGAATTTGATCCTTATAAATTCATTGCCGAGAAAAATTTTGTTCCATACAGCATATGCCTCAAAACTTAGGCTTGTTTTGTCTCATCTTCGACTATATTATTAAGAAGAATATAATTGTTCATCTCGTTCAGCTGATTGATTGAGCAAAAACGGAAAGAACAAAGAAAGATTTTGATGATAGCTGAGAATCTTCTTCTTTTCCAATAGTTGATTGTGAATCGTGAATAGCAATAGTAAATTACATAATTTCGATTGCTGAAGTTCGATATTATGAGATATCACGACTTATATATCATTTCGAGAAAAAANTGCCGAGAAAAATTTTGTTCCATACAGCATATGCCTCAAAACTTAGGCTTGTTTTGTCTCATCTTCGACTATATTATTAAGAAGAATATAATTGTTCATCTCGTTCAGCTGATTGATTGAGCAAAAACGGAAAGAACAAAGAAAGATTTTGATGATAGCTGAGAATCTTCTTCTTTTCCAATAGTTGATTGAAATTGTGAATAGTAAATTACATGATTTCGATTGCTGAAGTTCGATATTATGAGATATCACGACTTATATATCATTTCGAGAAAAAACCACGTTTTCACATTAACATAGACAATGAATGTGACGGAATTTCATTCATTCTCTAAATTGGATAGCAATTATTGAAATTAAAGAAAAAAACTCATACCTTGAAATCTTTGGCATTTTCTTGTAGGATTTTGCAGTTACAATTTAAATCTTTTTTAAGTTCGATTCGTAAATTCGAAATTTAACATTTCAATCAATTAAAAACAAAATTCTTGGGTAAACAATTCGGCTTATGATCCAATGAATAAGAAAAACATCAATCATTTTGTCGCAAGTAAGGTTCGATAAAATGTAAAATGAAAATCAAACTAATCATTCGTATTTTCAATCAAATCATGACACAAAATAAATTTTGGCGGAAAATAAATTTTTGTTCAACACGTTAGAATTTCCAATGGTTATTTTGGCGCCAATTTGAACCGATCAAATAACACGTGATTTTTAAAAGATTAGCAATTAACAAAAATGACAATAATTAATTACAGAATATCGAATGGAAATGAAAACAACAATTTTTGATTTATTATGAATTTGAATNAATTAAAAACAAAATTCTTGGGTAAACAATTCGGCTTATGATCCAATGAATAAGAAAAACATCAATCATTTTGTCGCAAGTAAGGTTCGATAAAATGTAAAATGAAAATCAAACTAATCATTCGTATTTTCAATCAAATCATGACACAAAATAAATTTTGGCGGAAAATAAATTTTTGTTCAACACGTTAGAATTTCCAATGGTTATTTTGGCGCCAATTTGAACCGATCAAATAACACGTGATTTTTAAAAGATTAGCAATTAACAAAAATGACAATAATTAATTACAGAATATCGAATGGAAATGAAAACAACAATTTTTGATTTATTATGAATTTGAATGTTGAAATGTTAAATATGAAATTTGGATTTGTTTCGTGAAGATATTTTTCATGTTAATATCCACAGTGCATTTTTTGTTTTGTCTGTCTGTTATTCTGTTCTATTGGGACCGCGGCCTTAGGTTGGATTTGTTATTTGCGGATTTTCTTCATGTTTCAGTGTATGAAAAAGATTTATACTCATTATTCAGCTTGTTTAGTACACCAATAGCATTTACCAATTTTATACACGACAGCTTCAAAAAGTTATTACATGAAGGTCTATTATAATTAAATAATTTTCAAAATTTTTTTAAAAATTATTTGAAAGGAGGACATTTTCATGCTCAAGGAGGACAGGAGGACAAAATTTCTGAAAGGAGGACATGTCCTCCCGTCCTCCCCGTATCTGGCAACCCTA